GTGGAAAGGGAAAATGGCACCGCCATTGAGAAAAACGTTTGGCAGGTCCTTATAAAGTTAAACACAAACTTACCCTACCAGCCGGCCAATCCCACTCCTAGCTATTTACCTAAGAGAAATCAAAATGTACGGAAGCCTGTGTGGGAATGTTTACAGTGGCCTCATTCGTAATCACCCAAAACTGGAAGCAACTGAAATGGCCTTCAACCGGTGAACGGATCGGCTGACTGTGCTACCTTCATAGCACGAAACCCTACTCAGAAATAAAAAGGAATGGGCTACAGCTACATGCAATAGTGGGGAAGAACCTGGGTGCGTTACGCTACGTGAAAGGAAGCCAGGCTCAAGGTTGCTTACTGAATGGCTCCATTTATATGAAATTCTGGAAAAGGCAATGCTATAGAGACAGGAAGCCGATCAGTGGCTGCCGGCGCCCGGGGTGGGGTGGGGAGAGGGGCTGACTACTGCAAAGGGGTGAGGGAATTATGTGTGTGTGTTAGGACCATTTCATGTCATGATTGGCGCTCTTGTGAGGACGTGACTGTATGTTTGTCAAGCTTGTGGAATCGTACACGAAAAAAGAGAGAACGTTACTGTAGGTAATTCATACTGCAATAACACAAAACAAGTAAAAACAATAACAGCCAACATCACACCGTATGTTATGTGCCAGGCAGGTTGCAGTACTTTACGTATGTTAATCCACTCAGTCCTTATAACGGCCCTATGAAGTCGGTGGTCATTATCCCCAAATTGTGAAAGTTTTGTCCCCAGGGCTCTCTCACCTTCTTGGTCTCCAAGCCCCTGGGTCTGACCCTCACTTCCCTCTTCCTTCTGCGCCTCTCACCTTTCCTGTGACTGTCTTCTCTCGCCCACGGCCATGTAGGAAGTTGCCACTAACGTGTTCCACTGAGGAGCACGCAGTCAATAATGAGGTTTAGCAGGGATTTCAAACTCAGATGCCTACAGCAGTGATGGCGAACCTTCTGAGCTCGGCGTGTCAGCATTTTGAAAAACCCTAACTTAACTCTGGTGCCGTGTCACATATAGAAATTTTTTGATATTTGCAACCATCGTAAAACAAAGATGTATATTTTTGACATTTATTTTATATATTTAAATGCCATTTAACAAAGAAAAATCAACCAAAAAAATGAATTCGCGTGTCACCTCTGACACGCGTGTCATAGGTTCGCCATCACTGGCCTTACAGGAACCAGGCAGGTGATGCAAACAAGCAAAACCCACGGGACAATAGGGAGTGGTGGGGACTGTGGAAAGCTGGGGAGCACAAGCTGTGTCTAAAGGGGAGAGTTGCGCCCTAACCAGTTTGGCTCAGTGGATAGAGCATCGGCCTGTGGACTGAAGGGTCCCAGGTTCGATTCCGGTCAAGGGCATATACCTTGGTTGCAGGCACATCCCCAACAGGGGGTGTGCAGGAAGCAGCTGATCGATGTTTCTCTCTCATCGATGTTTCTAACTCTCTATCCCTCTCTCCTCCTCTCTGTAAAAAATCAATAAAATATATTTTAAAAAAATAAAGGGGATAGTCGCTCCTTAGCTCCAGCTGCTACAAAGTGGAAACAGTCTGGACCCAGTGTTGTCAGATCTTCAGATAGTTCAAGGAAATCCTAACTTTCTTATGTTTATGTCGATTTTTAAAATGTTAGCAAATAAGTCACATTTTAAAAAACTGTTTAGATCTTGGTTTTTCTTATTGTAAAGACATGTTTACACCTTTCTTTTTTTTTTTCCAAAGTCACCCCAAAGTACAAGGAAATAAGAAGCAGAGGCAGCCCTGACCGGTTTGGCTCAGTGGATAGAGCATCGGCCTATGGACTGAAGGGTTCTGGGTTTGATTCCGGTCAAGGGCATGTACCATGGTTGTGGGCACATCCCCAGTAGGTGGTGTGCAGGAGGCAACTGATCGATGTATCTAACTCTCCCTTTCTCTCTGTAAAAAATCAATAAAATATATTAAAAAAAGAAAAAAAAGAAGCAGAGGCAGAAAATCCATAGGTAGTGAAATAAGGCAACATCGGTAGCCCAAACCACCATATAAAGGAGGATGGCCAAGTGGAAACCAACTTTGCAAGGCCGGGGAACAACAGACCCAAGTGCTGCAGAAATAGATCCCACTGCGCAGGTCAGTCCTCCTCTGAACCCTAGAAAATCTCAGGAATCAGAGGCATCAGGTATTGCAGAAAGCAGAGGATTAAAAGCAGGGGTTGGTCGCCTGGCCAGCATGACTCAGTGGTGGAACATCGACCTATGAACCAGGAGGTCACGGTTTGATTCCCACTCAGGGCACATGACTGGGTTGAGCTTGATCCCTAGTGTGGGGCATGCAGGAGGCAGCCGGTCAATGATGCCCTCGCATCATTGATGTTTCTATCTCTCCCTCTCCCTTCTCTGATAGCAAAAAAATATATTTCAAAACAACAACAACAGGATTTGGTTGAAAGACTGCATATGAAACAGACCTCTAGGTTGCCAGTCCCATCCTGCGGTCTCAGCTGACTGCCCTTCTCTCTCTCCTTTCTGCTGGAGGCTGGAGGTTCAACATCTGGAGAAACTAAATCATGGAGACTTGAGAATCACAGATAGTAAGCACGGAGGAGTGTGGGGAGTGAGGTGCCAGAGGCTGCAGGCCATGGGCAGCAATGCAGTGGCAGTGAGCAGAGCGAACAGCAAGACTACTGTCCTCTTCCCTGGCCTTGCTCCAGAGTTTCGGCAGCTAAGCTTATACCCTCCCTCCCAAAGGCAACTGGAGGTCATCTGTGCCATCTGCACCACCCAGAGAGAAGACCTCCAGGTTCTGCCAGTTTTTAACATCAGCCTGAAGCGGTTCTCTCCTTCCCAGAAATGGATATTTATTTTTTCAATTAAAGAAAAAGTATACATCCTCCTTCATGGATGTCTTTTGTGTTTAAGAAACCAAACAGAAATAAAGAGTACACTCCCCCCCAAAAAAGTATACAAATAATAATTGTTTCTTTTAGAAATTAGAAAAGATAGGTAAGCATAAAGAAGAAAAATAAAAATCACCCCCGCCCAAGCAGATAACTGGTGTTAGTTAACCGGGTGCACTTTCTGATATATACACATAAATATATGAATTTATTTATTTTTGAAATTGATATTAAACTACTGATAATTTTTTATCTTTTTTTGTTTGTTTTGTTAACTCTTACCAGAGGATATTTTTTACATTGATTTTTAGAGAGAGAGTCGAAGGGAGGGAGGAGGGGGAGAGAAAGAGAGATTGGTTGCCTCCCACATGGGCCCCAACTGGGGTTGGGGATCAAACCTGCAACCGAGTTACCTGCTCAGCCTCAGATCCTTTGGTCTGCTGACCGACACTCTAACCACTGAGCGGAACCAGCCAGGGCTACTGATAACTTTTTACAAGTTGTTTTTCCATCCAATGTATTATGGGCTTCTTTCCATGTCAATAAATATACACGTACATCATTTCATATGTAGTGTTCCATTATATTTGGGGCCATAAATATCCAACGACTCCCCTCTTGTTAGACATTACATTGTTCCTGCTAACGCTTTATAAATGGCACTGCAGTCATCATCCTGTACACACGATAAAATTCTAGAAGTGAAATTGCGGTGTCGTATGTGGCTGGGCATTTAAGAGTTTACCAAGAAGAAGAATTTCCAGATTGAAGGAAGGCAAATCATAGGCTGGACCTTCACATTTTTGCAGCCAGAGTTCAAAGCGATGGTTTGGGCAAAGGGGGTGGGGATCTCAAACTCATAGCGGAAGCTGGCAGTCCCTGGCGACCTACTCCTCCTTAGAGACTCTAGGAAAGGAGTGAGTGCAGACGGTTTGGTGAGCCCTTCCTCCCTTCCATTCCCAACACCCTCCCCTTCAGGAGGAGGGTGGGGCAAGGCCATCAGCTTGCATCCAAATGTGGAAGTGAAACTGGCCTCAAAGCAGAGGAGGGGTGAGTCAGTAGAGGACTCACGAGGTCCTGCTAGGACTAGGGTGGGTGCTCTGGGCCCAGGGGCCTCACTAGGCCTCTTGGTGCCCTGCTACCCCCATTCTCCCCACGCCACCCCCATCCCAGGCTGGCTCTGAGTTCCTAAAACTTTCTTAGCTTTCTAGAAGTGTTAACTATTAGATTGAACCATGCCAAACTGCCCTTTCTGTAGGTCAAAAGTTGTTGGGTATTGGCATTCTTTGGATACGTCTACACTGTACATTTATTGGGCCAGGTGTTGTGCTGAGCACTTGGTATTCATTTTTTTTAACTGTCACAACTTTCTGGTACATAGGAATTGTCCCCCCACTTAACGGAAAACAAATCTCTGGCTCAGAATCTCCCTGTTTGGAATGGTTTATGTGCTGGCTCGCCCTCCAAACTGAGGATCTGAACTAGCGCCTCTGCGGACGGAAGTGCTGCGATCTCCCAGGATAACGCCTCAACTTGGCAGAGCCACCTTCCCTTCTGCGACTCAGTCTACTCATCAATAAAATGGGACAACAATCACAGTGCCCAGCAGCATCAGGCAGGAGCTGTTGGGACGCAGTTCCGGGCTCAGCAGAAGTAAGCGGAAGGCCGGGAGGGGGGGGGCGGGGAGAGGGAGGGGGAGCACCACCCCCACCAACCACGTGGAGGGCCCGCCCCGCCCGCAGCTGGGCCGCAGGACGATTGCCCGGAGCGTGGGGCGGGGTCAGCACGGCCGGCTCGGCCCGCGCCTCCCTGTGTGCGGACCCTGGCGACCCGCACTACCTGGCCACCGCGTCCCCCGGCACCAGGACAGCCCGGAGGGGAGGGGGCGGCGAGGGGCGGGGCTCGGAGGCGTGGCCCCGGCTCTCCCTGTTTTTTTTCTTTTTGTCCGCCTAGATACCGAAAGGCTCCCCTGCGCCTTTAAGAGGCCGACGCGGGCATCCGATTGGCCGAGACGCGCCGGTGACGTTACTCGGGGGCGGGCGCGAGGCGGCCCCGTCAGCCCGCGCCCTCCCCCTCACGCCCCGCGGCGCGCTCGCGGGCAGTCGGCGCGCGGGCCGGGCCGGCGTCCCCTCAGCCTCGCTCGCCCGCCCGCCCGCGTCGCCCCGGGGCCCGGGGGATGCCCCGGACCGGGCGCTCCCATGGCGGCCGACGTCTTCATGTGCTCCCCGCGCCGGCCTAGCAGCCGGGGCCGCCCGGTGCTGCTCAAACCCCCGGTGCCTGAGGACGACGACGACTCGGACACGGATGAGCCGTCCCCGCCGCCCGCCTCCGGAGCGGCCACCGCGGCCCGGGCCCACGCGAGCGCCGCGCCGCCGCCGCCCTGGGCCGGGCCGGGCCGCGAGGAGCCGCCGCGCCGCCAGCAGATCATCCACAGCGGCCACTTCATGGTGTCGTCGCCGCACCGCGAGCACCCGCCCAAGAAGGGCTACGATTTCGACACGGTCAACAAGCAGACGTGCCAGACCTACAGCTTCGGCAAGACCAGCTCCTGCCACCTGTCCATCGACGCCTCGCTCACCAAGCTCTTCGAGTGCATGACCCTGGCCTACAGGTAGGGGGCCCGGCGACGCCGTCCGGCCCCACCTGTCAAGCCGCGCTCCCTCCGCGGACCAAACCAGCGTGGGGGGCTGGGCCGCCCGGGGTGGGGGGGACCCCTGGACTCCACGCCTTCCCCCGGGGTCGCCCGGCTCCGGGAGGGTTCCTGGCCTCTTCCCCTGCCCGCCGCGCTCGGTCCTTCCGGCTTCGCGCTCCGCACCGCTGCCTCCTCCCAGTGTCCCCGGGGCCACCGAGGTGGGACCGGACGCCTCGGGGGTCCCCAGCGGCGTCGGGGTGACGGCCCCCGGCGCGCGGGGGCTCTGTGGGGGTCCGGCCCTGCATGGTGGGGGTCTGCTTCCTCCCGGATCCCGGGGGATGAAGGCGTCGCTGCTTCCCTCGGCTGCCGAGGGAGGGGAGGTCGATGGGCGCAGTGCTTCCCAGCGCCACCGCGCCTGGCTCCAAGCTGGAGGCTCCTTTCCTCGCCCTGGCGGAGGGAGGCTGGGTCTCCACCCCCCCGCCCCCCGCCACCTCCACCGGGAAGCCCTCCCTCAGCTCGGGAGGGGCCCTGGGCGTCTCCCAGGAAGACTTCTGGAAGCACAGCTGTTGGAGGTGCAGCCTGTCCTCCTGGCAAGGCGCAGGGTTCGCTGGCGGCCCTGAAACCTGATACGGAGATGAGATGCCGGTGTGGAGGGCAGGCGTCCCAGCGCCACCCTACGTGTGGGTTTGGCTCTGGGCAGAGGGTCCTCCCCCCCCAAGGCACTGCAATGCCTGGCGCTTCCTCTGCCTTCGCTTCCTTCCTCGGTGGGCTAGGTGTTAGCCTCAGGTGGCTTCTGCCTCAGCAGCAGAACTGATTCGGACTCTGCAGGGAGCCCCGGCCTGCACCCCAGCTCTCGCCAGGGCAGGGTCCCTGCTCAGCGGGGGTTATTGGTTCGGTCCCTCGACTGGCTCAGGCCTTCGTAGGGTGTTCTCTGCAGGCTGCCTCGGAAGTTTCCTGGGAGATTCCAGAAAAGTGTAAAGAAGAGGAGGAACATTTCCCACCCCCCCCTTTTTTTTGGGGGTGGGGGTGGGAGAGCCATGAACCCAGAATACATTACCCATTTGCTGGAAGTTGAAACACTAGATACAGGGCTCTGGGTGACATTTTCCTCCTCTGGAATAAATGATTAATCCATTTGTTCCTTTGTTATGTTCCTGAAATGCCCCCACCCTCCCGTTTCCTCTCCAACCGCCTTCCCTGGCGGTTTGTTGGCCCCATGGCTGCAGCAGGTTACCCACAGCGCTCCCTTTAATGGCGCGTTGGTCGGGCTCTGCTTTGCTGCTCTGGTCTTGCCAGTTTGAGCTGGCACCGAGCCTGTGAAGATGTTCTGTTTTGTTTTTTGTTTTTCTTTAAACGAATGGTGTTGGGACTGCAGCCCTCAGCCTTTAAGCTCTGCTTACTCCATCTCAAATTGTGAGCACTTCCATTGCAAGCAGACCCTTGTAGCATATGCCCCAGCGCGAGAGAGCCCTTTCACACAAAACAGGGGTGAAAGACAGGAATGTGTTTTATTAAAAGAATGTAATCCTCCTCTCTATCTTAATATAAACTCCATGTACAGGGAGAGAATGGATGGCTGAGTTGCAGGCGGTATGGGCTAGAAAGCGCTCCCCTAAAGTAAAGAATAAACCAGTCTCCTCTTTGCCCTCAGTTTAGATAACCTAAAGGTTTATTGTCAACTAACACCAAGGAATTTTAGTAATGGCATTCCCCGCCTCATGCACACTTCTTTCAAAAGCATTTTGGCAACTGGCCATTGCTCAATTAACTTTCTTGATTGCAAAATGCACACTTAGTTTGATGGGAGACTTATCTTGCTCTTAACACCTCCCACCCCACTGGCTCTCTTGCTTTACTGCTACTCCCTGTGCACAGGTCCTGCCAGTGCAGGTCCCCCCCATGGGTGCTGCCAGCCTAGTGATTCCTCATGAGGGTGCCCTGCCTCTCTGTGTGAGGCTGGTGTGGCTGGCCCTCAAGTTGAGTTGGCAGTGTGGAACTTGGGTAGAGCGTGACAGAGGAAGGACTCAAAACCAGTTAGTGGACTGGGATGTAGCCTCTGGCTTAGAAAGCAGCCCAGGAACAGGAGGGAGTGTCTGTCCTCAGCTGTCCGTCATGACCACTGGCTGACTGTCAGAGGAGTAGGAGGCAACCAGGGAAGAAGAGGTGGTCTGACTTTCCTTTTGGTGGGGCCTGAGCCTTCACCACTGTTTGCAGTTTTCTCCTTGGCCAAGAGGAAGGCCAGCTGGACCTCCCCTCCTGGCCTCCTTCCTCTGCTGCGTGACTGTTTCTGGCATGGGCTCTTTCTAACCAACTTCCTGTGTGTCCCCTGGCCTCTTCGTTCTAGCTGCCTAACTCTCCCTGGTACACTCTGTGCTATATGTTTTTTGGTTTGTTTTTTTTTTTTGGTTTCCTGTAAACTGCTGCCTTCCAGCTGTTTCCAGATGAGGTTCAACAGCCCTTTTGAGGGAGGAACTAAGTGCAGGGGAAGTTGTGGTTGTTTTTCCCCAGCCCTGTGAAGTGGTCTCGGGACTCTGAATATGCTCTGTTCCTGAACATGCAAAGTCTTGGCCTCCTGAAGGGTCCTTGGCAGGCTGACTTTGGGAGGGGAAATAAGATGTTGGAGGAATCGGGACTGTGAGTGCCCAGTGGCCCACGTGAGTAAATAGCAGTGCTGATGGGACTCCAACTTCATATCATTTCCTTAAAACCCATGTCCTTCCTATCTTTTTTTTAAAAATATATTTTACTGATTTTTTACAGAGAGGAAGGGAGAGGGATAGAGAGTTAGAAACATCCATGAAAGAGAAACATCCATCAGCTGCCTCCTGAACATCCCCTACTGGGGATGTGCCTGCAACCAAGGTACATGCCCTTGGCCGGAATCGAACCTGGGACTCTTCAGTCCACAGGCCGATGCTCTAGCCACTGAGCCAAACTGGTCAGGGCTGTCCTTCCTATCTTGATTGTGTGCTCAATAATTGGAATGTTTTGAAGGGAAATAGTTGCTTTCCCCAAGGCAAAATCTCCATGATAGAAGCGTACCTTTTCTCAGCCTTTCTGTCACTGTCAAATGGGGAGGATAAAACTGCCCTGCAGGGTGAATGTTAGGATTAATTGAGATAATGTCTGCGAATGGGTCTAGTACCTGGCAAATAAGAGGAGATTTAACAGGCGAAATCAAACTCTGCATCCTCATTCAACTGACATTGACTAGGAGCCCCAGTTTCTCATCTGTAAACTAAAGGAAATGATGTATCTGACAGGTCTTTTAGTGTGGCTTTCAAATGTGTGCTCTACAGATACTCAGTAGACACATTCTTGGTTTGCCCATACTTGCTAAGGCTCCACAATGGAGCTGTGTACTCTAGAACACAGTTCATGGTTCTTGTCCTCTTAGCATTTTAAGGAATGTCACACATGTAAATCACCCACACAGATTCTGAATGCATCTAGTATATAGCTCTTTGTGGTTGGTTCTGATTTCACTTCTCTAGCTTTTTATGTAGCTCTTTATTAGGGAGCCTTGGTGTGAACCTGAGGGGAGGGGTGATGGTTTTTTTATGTATTTAGAGATAAGCAGGCGCTCTCTGCACAATGGGTTTCTGATTAAGTGGAGATTTGAGGAGACCTTTTTTTTAAAAAATATGTTTTATTGATTTTTTACAGAGAGGAAGGGAGAGGGATAGAGAGTTAGAAACATTGATGGGAGAGAAACATCGATCAGCTGCCTCCTGCACACCTCCCACTGGGAATGTGCCCACAACCAAGGTACATGCCCTTGACCGGAATCGAACCTGAGACCCTTCAGTCCGCAGGCTGACGCTCCATCCACTGAGCCAAACCGGTCAGGGCTTGAGGAGACCTTTTAATTTGGACCTTTGCGATGGCCTTGGGATACAATTTTCTAGACTGTGACTTGAGTAAGTGTAGCCCGTATAGTAACCCTTTGTTCTTGACCCAAGGCAGGAATCTCTGCCAGACTTAAGGAATAGCAGGGATTAAAGGTTTAGAGCACTGTGCTCTTCAAACTTTAAGTTTTCAAAAGAAGAACTTTCTGATGCTAGGCCTGGTAACTAGTTGTAAATGGGAACCATTTACACAAATGACTAAGTTAGTTTGACTCTTCTGCAACCATGCTGAAGACACAGTTTTTCTTCCTGTGCTTTCTTTAGTCCTTTATCATTATATTAGGGGCCCAGTGCACGAATTTGTGCACCTTGGGAACTGTGGGCCACGAGGCTGCGGTAGGCACAGGGGCGAGTCCTGGCCCATCCTCTGTACCCCTGCCCAGCCCCTCCCACTGCAGCAACCAGACCCCTATCTGTCGGCAGCTCCCCTCCCGCCTCCTCCGCTCCCACACACTGACAGCATGCTGAAGGCGCGGAGCGATTGGGTCCAGTGCCAGCAGTGGGTGTGAGTGGGACCAGCATCCGCAGAGGGTGCGAGCGGCAGCTGCTGCCCTGATCGCCCCTTAGGAGCAGAGGGAGGTGGAGAAGCCCTCAGGGACAATCAGGGCCAGCAGCTGTTCACACCTGCTGATGGCGCCAAGCGATTGGGACCCATGCCGGGCACCAGCAGCAGGTGCGAGTGGTGGTTCTGGCACTGGCTATGGGTGCGAGTGGGGCCGGCTCTGGCAGTGGGTGTGAGAAGCGGCTACTGGCCCCGATCTCCCCTTAGGAGCAGGGGGAGGTGGAGAAGCCCTGAGGGGCAATCAGGGCCCGCAGTTGTCTCTCACATCCGCTGGCGGCACCAAGCGACCATGGCCGGTGCTGGGTGCTGGGCACTGGCAGCGGGTGCAAGTGGGACTGGTGCCAGCAGTAGGTGCAAGCATTGGGCGGAACCGGGGCATGCGGGAGCAAAGAATTTCAGTAACCACCAGAGGCTCACCTTGATGACAGCGACTGGTGTCCCGCCTTGGTCTGGCGCCCCCACTCACCTGCTCCACCATCCTGCTGCGGCCGATGCCCACCATGTTTTGC